AGGGGCCAGGACTTCGCTGTACATCTGGGTCCTGATGGGGGTGACGTCTATTGGGGAGAGAATGGGCAATTCCTCAAGGTCCTGAGGGGATGAACACTCTGACCTTGAACTTTGCTATAACACAGGAAGAGGCAACTAAGGAGAAAAGTCATGCAAATCTCATCTTCAGAGAAGCTCTGGAGAAAGCACGGGTTTGTCTCTTCAAGTGTCATTCATTCCTGTTGGACAACAGGGGAAAGTGCGTGCATGGCCTGCCTTTTACATTCTCTTTGTATCTATGTGAATCTGCTGTCTACGAGCTCCATATTCCACGTGAACAAAACTCCTTACCCTGTGTACAAAACTCCCTTATTTGGAGAAGGGCATGTCTCAGCATCCTATGAAATCTCGTTTCTTAGGTGCCACTCAAAACAAAAGGCTATCAATAGGCTCTAAACAACGGGCTTTAAACATAATGCCATCAGGAAATCCAGAATGCTCTGAGTGTTGTGCAGACTTTGTGAACATGTCCATTCTCCAGGGAGTGCATGCAGTTTTCATCCGATTCTCAAAAGGGTTGTGGCCCCCCCAAAAAACCCAGCACTACTGTCCAATTTATTCAAAATAGTACTGCCGAGGCTAAAAATAACAGATGATATTTTTAAAACATAGAATAAACAAGTCCTCTATAATCCTGCAATGTTCTTAATTATCTTGAGACCATGCTGTGAAAAAAACTATTCACTGCTATTACCATTTTGCAGATTGGCAAACTCAATTCCTAAGAAATTAAAGTGAATATTCCACCTATGGAAAAAGGAACAAAAGACGAGCAGTTTAACGCACTGTTCTCAGCAACGGTTGCCTCCCACTGTTATTGTAATACCTCCCAGATCGTAAATAAATACCACAGTCAGGCCCTGTGCTGGGTACTTTATATACACGGCTTATTTAAACATCATAACAACTCTGCAAGACATTGTCTCATTTTCCTTTTTCCTTTTTGGAGATGTTTTGAATTTTATTTAACTGGAATAATACATTCATATATATTGGTTTTTCTCATTTTTAAATTTGAGGAAATCAAGGCTCATAAAACCTCAGTGATTGCCAAAGACCACAGCCCTGATAAGTATCAGAGTTGGGATCCGACTTCAAGTCTGTCTGCCTCCCAAGTTCTACACTGGGATATACTCTAAAACTTGGATCCTCAGAGGAGGAAAATTTGTCTTCAAGTCAGGGACAGTTTCTTAGACATCTTTGTATTCCCCACAGTGCCTCCCCATGCTTTGCATGGCAAGGCTCTCAATAAATATTTGTTGGATGAAGAAACCTGGGCTCAGGCTCCAATTCTGCCATGGACTTAGTGACTCAGTCTCCTGCAACTTGGAGCTGCAGGTGGTTACTCAGCTGGGCAACTTCAGGGAACATTTGAAATTAATTATGGGTGAGGAGGAACCTATTAACATTTTCTCTTTTGTGTATGTTGGGGTTGAAGGAGAGGAAAGGAAGTTGAAAAGGAGGGAAAAGAACAGGATGGTCTCAGGGCTGGGTGCTGGAACATGAAGAGCACACGCCTGGGTGGGGCAGAATCTGGCTGTGTCCACCACTCAGCTCCAGCGGCACGTCCAAACGGCTCCTCCGCACCTAGGCAGCCACACCGCCCTGAACTGCCGAACCCGACCAGTCACTTTTAGGGAGGACCCTGCAGTGGAGCAGTCGCCATCCCTCCTAGGCCATGTCGCTCCACTTCAGCCATGGGAAGCATGCAGCTTCGGAAGCTGTGCCTTGCAGGGGCCCGGGCACCCTCTCTCCCCGCCTAGGGCCAAAGACATTCTCAGCACCTGAAATCTGTGAGCCCTGCATTTTCCTCAACCCTAAATAAAAGTATGCTGGCAATTCGTTCTGGAGTCCAACTTCCTATTTAGGAAGAATGAGGGAGTTTGGGGTGGGGGAAAGGGGTAATTCTAGTTGATTGTGTTTTCTTTACTAGTTGCTAAAGTGCAAGTTACTCACAACCCCAAAAATGCCACTTTAGGCCTTTCACATAGGCCCTGCAAAAAAGACTCGTATGAAGCTGACCCCAAGGGATGCCTACCAACAACATTCTGGGAGAGGATGATTAAATACAGCCCAGAGGCCAGGGCAGGACAAACCTCCAAGAAATCAGAGACGTTCCCCACTACGTGGCTGCCTGCTGGCCTGTGTGTGAAGCAACACTGCCACCTAGTGCCCAGTGTGGAAAGTATTCCCTAGGGCCCCCCATCTGGGGCGGGGGAGGGCGGCGGCCGGGGTTCCTCTTTAATAATCGGTGTGGCCAAATGGCTTGAAGTCTCTGATTAGGAGGAAGAGCCCCAAGTTTGGCAGATGGAGGACTGGGATCCTGGGTTTAAGTTAGTAGGTGGGGGCTGAGGTTCGGGAGCTGTTGACCAGAGTGCCGGGGCAAGGCTGGCCGCACCTTGGACCATCCTCACCGCAGCAGCAGAACCGTAACAGCTGGTCTGTCTGCGGCTGCCAGAGACGTGATGACTGTCGCTGTCCTTCTCACAGCGAAGGCCAGCCATCCTGGGCGCAGGTGGGGGCCGGCCCGGCGCTATGGCGAGAGAGGAGAGACGCTGGGCTGCTGACAGGCGCAGCTGCCTCAGTGCCAAGCGCAGGCCTTCCTCTGAGGAGGACCCCCGTGGCGGCTGTGTGGTCTCAGCCTCGGACACCGCAGGGGACTGGGAAGAGCTGAGCACAGTGAGGGCACAAGGCACCTAAGCCCTCAGGAGTCCAGTTGCCAGAATCCTGAAGAATGAAGGTCTTGTTCCCAGCCCCTTCTTTCCCAGCCTTTTACCCTAAATCATTACTGGACATTTTCGATGTGCACAAATCTGCAGGAAGGCATGGGCGGAAGGTGGAGAAGAAACAGCCCTGGGCATTCTCTGCCCTCGGCCTTCCTGGAGTAGACCTGCGGGGACACCGGTCCCACAGGGGCCACTTTGACGTGAAGAGGAAGAAAACTGAGAAGCTAGACTGACTGCAAAAGATTTCCTGCCCGATTTTACATGCTTAAGGAGGTTAAGGCAGTTCAGGTGGGCACTTCAGAGAAGGACCTGAGTGTGAGCGGCAGGTAGGGTCAGGGCAGTGTGGGGGACGGTGGGGAAGGGAGGGAGCATGCAGAGTGGGGGTGGGTGGCGGCGCAGGGAATGCCATAACTGGACCCGGTCATCACGCTGCTCTCCTCTCTGCAGAGTGTGTGACAGAAGGACACAGCGGGGACAGGACGGGGTCAGGCACCCACTGTGCTAAATCTGTTTCCTTAAGTTTGGGCTTTAATAGCCCAAAGCAATGGCTCCTTAGAACCTCCCACATAGGTTCCTGCTGGATCCTTCCCCAATTCTTTGCAGCCAGGGAACTGATCCCAGGTCCCTACGCTGCTACTGCCAGAGGAGGGTGAGCAGAGTCGTGGGTCTCAGCCTAGACTGCAAGCACCCAGTCTCCCGGCAGATGGGTACTAGGAAGTGAGATTAGGCAGCAAGAAGATGTCATCTGGGGAAAACTGCAAAGCTGCCAACTCTGATCAGATAATCATCTCATTATTTCTTCCATTTGGCCCCAAAATAAGGATTTCCTTCTACTCTTTCTCTTCCCCCACCTAACTTACAGCCCAGCCCCTTCTCTCTCCTCTTCCCTCACCCCCTCTCCCACCCCAAAATAAAATAAAGCAAAACCACAAGACTTGAGAGTGCTCAATGTCTGGGAATCCCAGCTTCCGAAGGAGGAATCACAGCCAAAAAGGGGGAGACAGTGTGTCCGGAAGGGATGTTCCAGCAACACCCCACTGAAGGAGACTCCCTCCTTCCAGATTTCTTCCCCTAGTTTGAAACTTATTTACAGGCATCTAGCAACCTGAGAAGTTTTTAATCTGGAGAGTTGTCAAGCAATTCAGGCGCTCTGGAGTTCTATTCCCAGCCTGCCTCTGGCACACTTCTTATTGCCTCAGTTTCCCCATCAATGTAATGGGACTAGAAAACATCAAAGGGTGTTGTGGATGATCCAAATTAAAAAGATTAAATGGTTTTACTATGTGCCTTGCTTTGTGTTCAGTTCTGCTTTGGGAGATCCAAAAGGATGGTGAGAGTCCAGTGGTGAAAACATCAAGTCGAATCCTCAACCCCTTGATTGACACCAGCCTCTTCAGTAAAACAAAGGGAGGCAGTCACTCCTAACCCTACTCTTCTCTTTGACCTTCCGGGTGGCTTTCCATGAAAGCTAAGATCTAGGTATAGTGGGAAACAGGTATGTGTAACGTTCCCAGACAGGTGCTTCTGATCAAAACCACAGAGTTATACAAGCTTCATTTTTAGGTGCCTCTTACAACACCCAGGGCCAGACGCCAGGACCCTGGCCTGTGAGTGCCCACTGTGTCCAGTAGCACTGGACACGTGATTGCTGCTCCTAGGCTGACACGTGATTGTCGGGGCAGAGTGAAAGGGATCAGGACCTCGGCTAGGTGGTACTTTTCTGCCAAATTTTAGGGCTGCTTAGAGAAAAGGGAACCAGTCAGGATCCGACGGCTGTGTACCTGGCAGCTTCGTTCCCTCACTGCCTGGCCAGCTCCATGACTCACTGCCCAGGTCCTTGGACACGCATCTATTTTCAAAGTTGCCTGGGTGTCTCATACTGGAGTAGGAGAGACGGAGTGTGACACCCCTCCCCACTGACAAAGAACCAAAGAGATTTGTCCCTTTAAAGAGAGGTAAAAGAGATAAGTCTCCTAAGTACAAGCACAATGTATAGAACTACTTGGGATCAATACAAGGGACAAAGGCCATTGTGGTTAGAGTCATTATCTTCCCTCTATTGGTGTCTGGAAACCTGCTGGGCTGCTGAGTAAAAGCCCTTCCTCACCCCACCCCAGATAACCCTTCTTGGCTTTCCTGCTCCAAGCCCTCCCCTCCCCACTCCCCACATCTAACCCATCAGAAATGGAGCCAGCCTTTCCCCCGGGATCTCAGAACGCCCAAGAGCGGCTTTACCTGCGATGATGGCTGGGTTGTTCTGTCCTCCCTCCGGCTTAACCCAGGCTTCCACTGTGAACGCCTCCCGGGGAGTCTCAGCCAGCACTTCCGGACGCAGCCGCAGCCGCTCCTGCCTCCCAGAGAAGTACAAGACAGGCAGTCCTCCTTGGGAGTCCGAGGTCCCTGCGTCCCAAGAAGGGTCCCCTCCACCGTTTTGGGTGCTGTCCTCCAGCGGGCTGTCTCTGACCCCATGCTTAGGGGGACGCTCGGGCCGAGGCTGGGAACGCGGAGGAGAGCCACCCGCACCTCCCCACGCGTCTTCTGCCTGCCTCTTCACCGCCGGGCGACGGTGCCCAGACTTGGGCCTGTCCTTCCCTTGGGTCTCTGCTTTGAGTTCCTTCAGGCTTGAAAAGGCGGTGGTGATGGTGGCAGCTGTGGCTGTGCTTTTCCGAGTCCCAGTCTCACCTAGAGACTCCTTGGATCTTTGGTTGCCTACATAAGTGTCATCATCTCCCAGCGGCTCAGATTGTCCCATAGGACCATCCCCTAGCCATGGGGCCACTGGCGGCTCAGCCCCACTCCTCGCTCCTGCTGTATTTCCCATCCAGTCTTGGGGAACAAGGCTCACAGCCTTTCCCCCGGTGTCTGGCTCACTGCGTCCTGCAGGACGGATTCCCTGCTCGCCCACAGGATACGGCCTCAGGTAGTCCCCAGGCCTGCTGGGGTACACCCCAAAGAGGTGATGCTGGGGAGCGGCTCTAGGTCTTCGAGCCCTAGCCCCCAGCCAACAGTGTTCTCCTTCCAGCAGCACCTGATTCAGGTGTCCCCTCTGAGCCAAGGATTTCTTGCGTGTCCAGCCCAGCTCAGAGTTGGCAGTGCTGCATGCCCACCCCGCCAAGATCACCAGGCTTATTCTCAGAACCCTCAAGCGCGTCATCCCTCCTCCAGCTCTTTTCACAGAACCAGAAGGCAACTTCTGGGTACCACAGCAGAGTGATGGGGAAAGGAGAAAGAGACAGCTAGCAATGGATTTGCAGTCACCAGGGAAACTGTTTTGTTCACAGACCAAACTTTTTCAAATAGCCCCAGAAGAGTGCCTCTTCTGGCTACCTGGCCTGGAAACTCCGCCAGCCGGCGTGGCTTCTGTGCCGTCCCCCTGCGCTTCCCCGCGCTCCTCCCCGACCTCGCTCCCCTGGCTCTATTTTAGTCTTTGCAGAATGAAGTTAATTTCTCGTGGTTCCTTTGAATTTCCTCCCAGAGAGCTCAGGTTTCTTTTTCTTTTCTTTTTTTTTTCTTTTCCTTCTTCAATAACCCTCCCCTCCCTGATACTAGAAAAGAGCCCCACAGGCAGGGCAGGAGCTGAACCTCTGGAATACACACTCACTCACACCCCCCTTGCTACCTGAAGTCGTTCAAAACAAGCTTATCCTCTAATTTTCATTTCTTCCTCTTCTTCCTTCCCTAGGAGTTACCTTCTTTTTGTAGTCCTTAACCCAGAATATATTCACCTTAAAACAAATTGCTAGAAGAACTTTTATACAGAGATATACAATTTGATGCTTCTTATTTTAAAACACAAAAAATAGTCTAGGGGGCACAAAAATCCAAGCTGATACTTAACTTTCACTCTCCAGATGTCCTCAGCCAGGTCCACATCCAGCTTCCAGTCTGCCGTGCAGGTTAGAATGTATCCCTCAGCTTGGTGCTTGAGGTTGTTGATTGTTGGAGCTTTTTAAATCCCCTTCCAACTTGTTGGTATGTTGCAAGTCTTCATAAAGTTCTTCGGGGTGCCAATCTGCTGTTCTAGTAACCACATGGGTCTGAGAGCCCTTGGCTTCACCTTCTGGGAGACTTGTGAGGCCCTGGGAAGACTGGAGAAAGAGCAAGAAAAGAGTAGACTTCAGGGACCTGTTCTCTCCAGCCTCTCCTGCTCCCCTTCGCTCCCTTTCTCTCTGGCTGTAACTGTCTTCTTGTTTTTTTCATTTAAAGACAATGATGATGTCAAAGCTAGTAAGTTCGGTGCATCACTCCACCTACTCTCTGTCCCCTCCTTCCTGCTGGGAACCTCCCCACCTCACCAAGGCAGGGGACAGACGCTACTCTTGGTTTCCCCAGTAAACATCTCGGGCTTTCTCTTTCAGCAGCCGCAGTCTACACAATCAATAGCAAACAATCAATACTGTTTTGGAGTACTCTTTCCTGTGTGTATCCTCTCTGTCTGTCTGTCTGTCTGTCTGTCTGTCTCTCTCTCTCTCTCTCTCTCTCTCACACACACACACACACACGCACACACATGCACACACAGGCTGTGAACAGACCTGCCTACTGCCTAACAAGCCCACACTAACCTTTTAGGGACCACTTGTATCTCTTTGTTTTGTTTTGTCACAAACCTCCTGTATCTTCTCTTACTTCAGTCTATGATTTGGAATTTAAAAGACCAATACCCCAAATTCACTTTATATTGGACATTGGGAGAAAGGAGAAATTAATTGTCCTGCTATGAAAAGCATTAAATGTAAATGCCATGTATTTGTACTACATAGATTTTTTTCTCTTGAGTTTCTCAATCTGAAGTTACTAAAAGTCACCATATGCTGAGCAAGCAAATAAACAAACGAGATGCTCAAAATAAGTAATTTGCAAAAATGAGCAGCTAGACCCAAGCAACTGTTTTTTCAATTGATCTGAGATGAATGGAGAGGATGGGAAGCAACACTATGGCTTTCACCTGTCCTGCTTGCCTGGATGCAGGCACTCTTAAAGGACCCCCACCCCCTGCATACATGTGCTTGTGCACACACACACACACACACACACACACACACACACACAGTCATGGACACACACAGAGGATGGGTCTGACTGAATTCTTAACACAAGTAAGGATGTCTGACCACAGGTGGCACAAAACGGTTAGAGAAATGCACTGGGTCCTTCATCCAAGTAATAAGAAAGATCACTCACATTTATAAAATCACTGCTGTGTTGCCCACATCTAAAACATGCAGCCCACATGCTCTGGAGTAAGATCACACTGCCTTTTCTCCCTAGGGTCTCCCCGTCGTCTTCTAAACTCCTCCGCCCCAGCTAATGATGGACTCTCTTGTATTTTAAGCCCCTTGTGCTCAGCGTGCCCTGTTTCTCTATGTCACATCCACTGGAGCCTTGGTGCAAGTCCCCAAAGAAGATATCAATTCAGGCACGTGGATATTATTAAGCAGATGTCCCTCAGTCCCAGACTGTCCTTGTTCCTTTTCTCATTTCCCTAGCTCCCTTCACTTTTCTGACTCAGTTCTCTCTCCCTTTCTTTTTCTGAAGCAGCTCAAGAACAGAGATTAGGCTTTGGGTGGGGGTTGAGGGGGATGTAGAGAAAGCCAGAAAAGCAGAAGAGAGACAGACAGAGACAGAGAAGGAAAGAAAGGAGGGAGGAGGAAGGAGAGGCGCCTTAGTTTAAGTGAGGGGAAGTCCTCAGGTAAGAAAGAAGAAGCAAACTGCCCCCTCCCCCATGCCACCCCTCGACCCCCAGAAAAAGGTTTCCTACCATTCATTTCAGGAAGGAGGGATAACTCAGCAAGGAAGGAGAATTCCGCCCGCTTTGCTCCCCCTTTTAGTGTGTAAGTGATCTTGCATCCCCTACAGGTCTCTCCTGGTTCTCAGCTGCTAGTAATCCATTCATAAGGTTTCAAGAAGCTACACAAAACTCAAGCTTCCAGTTTAGTTTCTCTCTCTCCCCTTCATTCCTTTGCTCACCACTCTCCTTCAGCTCTTGGCAGTCCAAAGTTTAAAAAAAAATGTTGAACCATTTCTGTGTTTTCCTCCTGTTGTAACTTTTGCTGTGACATCATAACCCTGCCCACCAACACCCCACCTCCCTCTCCTTTCCATCCCACCCTCATAAGCCCCAAACCCCCAACACCCCCATACAGAGAAGAAGGGCTCCTGTCAGTTCCAATGTGTGAAAACACAAAGCTACTAGAAGGTACCCCTCCCTCCCTCGTCCCCTCCTCTCCTCCCCCTCCCTGCCTTACCCACCGCTCAGCCTCCGCTCTCTCAAGGCTTTTAACAATGATCCCATCTGTTTGACATGTGCGGAAAGGTGGGCTGGATTCAAATAATCTGTCAAGTGAATCGGATCACAAACAAAGCAACCCCCTCCTCAATTCTATCTCACACATACACACCCCAAACCCGAGCAAAAGTGTGAGAGAAGTCAGCCTTGCACAGCACCCACCCTGGATGCCAGGGAGAAAGACACCAAACATGCCAAGGGAAACCCAAATTTATATATATATATATATATATATTCTGCTGCTTGTTTGTTTATGGCAAACACACTCACACCCCCAGTCCCCTACCCTTCTGCCCCAAACCCTGCCACTCCGCAAGTGCACAGACTTGAAAGCTGGCTGAATCTGTTTTGAAATCTCCAAGGAGAGGGTTTTTCCCCCTTTTTTTCACTCCAAAGCACTATCTGTGGCGATCAGACTGAGCAGGGTTGCCAGCAAATGCAGGAGGCCCCTTCTAGGGTACAGGCTTTCAAACCAGCAAAGCTGGAGGGAATGGATTTAAGGACACACAGCAGGAGCTGGCTGGATTCATTTTATTTTGACGGGGGTAGTTGGGGGAGGAATATTTCTGAAATGCCCAAGGAATGAAGGGAGAGGATATGGATTCCTTAAACAGTTTTTGCAAGAGGAGCGGTGTCTTATTCTGCAGGTAAATCTATAAGGCAAGAAATTGGAGCTTCCAGATAAACAAGGACGGAGAGGGAGAGGGAGGGAAAGGGAAAAGAGGGAAGAGAGGAGAGGCAAGAGAAGGGATGGGGACCTGGGGAAGGGGAGAGAGGAAAGAAGGGGAGAAGGACAGAAAGGGGGCTGGGGGAGAGAGGGGGAGGGAAGAGGGAGGGTGGGGAAGGCAGGGGGAAGGGAAAGGAGGGAGCCAACGGGAGGGATGGGGAGGAAAGGAGTGAAATGGAAGGAGAGAGCAGGAGGAACAGGGAAAGAGAAGAGCCTGGGAGGAGGAAGGGCTGGAGAGCAGAAGTAGGAGAGAGAAGAGGGAAGAATGAAGCAGAGAGGAAGGCAAAGGGAAAGAGGTGGCAAGGCACATAAAATATGGAGACCAGGAAGGCAGTTAGACCCATGATGGCTAGACATGAAGCAGTCACAGAGGCAGGTGAAGGGAGGCACTGTAATCTGGGGCAGAGCTTAGGTTTTATGTGCAGAAAACAAAGGACACACAGTAGAGGGACTGTCTCAGAGTGATCGGACACATTTTACACAACCAGACTGCAAGGCTTCGACATTGTCTCTTTAAGGAGAAACCCCTGTTCCCTCCTCCTTTCCTCCCTGAGGCTCTCTCTCCAGCCACCACCTCCACCTTCCTTCTTTCACCTTGTTGTTCCAGCAAGTCTTCCCCTGGAGAATCTAAGAGCGAATTCAGACGCTGCCCCGCCCCCCACCAAAGAAACCCACCCTTTGTAGCACCTTCCTTTGTTTCTACCCAGAGAGGGTCCTGGGTCCTCTTAGCTGAAGATCAGGCTGTGTGTGACTTTTTGCGTTTCATTTCAACCCCAATCATGTTTCCTTTAAGCCTAGGACATCAGGGGTGTTATGCTTGTGTTTACTTATCCTCATTATTATTACGTCTTTGAGCAAAGACAGGAGGCAGCCCACGTTGCCATCCATCTGCGCTGGTCAGCGTTAGCAGGAGAGACCCCTTCATGTGGTCACTGATCCTCTTTGACTTTCTCATTCCAAAATCTGATCCCTTGAGGAAAAAGCTCAACTGGGAGCAAGCCAGGGAGCGTAGTAATAAAAGCCTCCCAGAACACAACCAAATGCATTCTCTATATATAGGAGCCGGATCTGTTTTAGCTACTTGCAGTCTAAAATGACACCCGGAAACAAACATTTCAGCAATATGTTTATTGGAAGCTTACTCAGTTAGTGCTGGAGAGAGAGAGCTGCTCTGAAGAGTTTCACTCCAAGGCTCAGGGTTGTTTGCTGCTTTCTGCTCCCCCTGCTCCGTTGCTCAGAGCTGGGAGTCAGGGGATGTATCATTCATGGGGTAACTTGAGATTCCTTCAGGGTGACCTGCTCCGGCCCCCTTTTCCATGGGAGAGATAACAAGGGTGAAGTTATGCAATTCATGGCGGGGCCAGATATAGCATCCAGGTCTCATGAATCCCAGCCCAGTCTCTGTTTCCCTCATCTGGCTGCACACTGCACTGTCTTCACCTGTCCTGCCTGTTTGCCACCCACCTGCCAATTGGAAGGAAAAGCAGTATCAAAGACTGGCCTCCCATGGTCCACATCCAGGAGAAAAGGCCCGGGGAAAATGTGTTGGTCGAATGTGTTCTGTAACTCAGCATCACATAGTACTCAGAAGGAAATGCAAATCTGGATTTCACTCTCCTTCTTGTGTATTTGGAGCCAAGAGAAGTCCTATCTTCTTGTGGAAATGTTTGATGCTCCATATGCTAGATAATCATATTTTTCCCACAACATAATTACTATTATAAATTATTAGCAATGTTAATGCTTGTGTTTTAAAAACTGCCTTTTATCCAAATAGATCAAAGTATTTCATAGACAGAAGGACTTCCCAATACCTGGGGGAGTGGTGTGGTGGAAGCAATATGCCAGGGATACATACCCCCTAGTGGCACTCCCCACTGAGTGTTTCCTGTAAGATTGTGAGCCTTGGAGCTAGCTTGTGGATCCCTTTGGCTAAGAAGGGGTTTAACAGTGATGTTGGATCCTGCCCTGCTCATGAGATGACCAAAGGCTCTGCAGGGTTTATGCTTCAATTAGGATTGCCTTTGCACTTGGAACCTCTTCAAAGGGCAACCTCATAGCAAAAATAATAAGTTGACTTGTACGCTGCTTTTCCTCTTGCTAAAAGCACATTTGTGTGCATTCTTTCTTTCCAACCAGTGACATGAATGCAAAACAAGTGTTATGCCCATTTTATAGATGAGGACACTGAGGTTGAAAGAAGTTAAGAAAACTTACCCCCAGACCTGCAGACAGCAAGAACACAGCCAGGACAAATCTCAAATGCATCATGCTGAGTGAGAGAAGCCAGACTCAAAAGGCCACGTACTAAATGATTCCATTTCTATGACATTTTGAAAAAGGCTAAACCCCGAGGATAGAGAGTAGATCAGTAGTTGCCAGAAGCTGGGAGTTAGGGGAAAAGTTAAAGACAAAAAACACAAAGAGATTGGGGGATTATAGGACTATTCTCTATCTTGGATGCGATAATAATGCATTTGTCAAAACTCAAAGAACTATGCACTAAAAGTATTACTGTATGTAAATTATGCCTCATTAAACTGGTGGGGGTGGGGAGGGGCAGGGGCGGTATTGCCAGCTGAGCCAGTGGTAGGGCCAGGGTCTTTTAATTTTGAATACAACATTCTTCTCTCTAAATCCTGCAAGTGTCCACTGACCAAAGGAGAGTGTGGCATTGCTTGGTTGTGATTAGGGGCCGTTCTGTGTCTGAACTCGCCACTGAGCCCTCACCTCTACTGTAAGGGAACCCTCCAGAGCGAGACTGCATGGAGCACCACGCTGGCTGTGCTGCCGGCTCCATCAACCCAGATGGCTCCAACAATCAAACAACCACTCACCAAATAAGCACTAGTCAGCGACTGTGTCCCTCTTCTGCCATTCAGCAGCTGCCTGACTTTGGACAAGTTGATAAACTTCTCTGAGCTATCTGTGAGCACGAAAAGATTGGAATAGAAGACTCTTAATTTCCCTTTCGGTCACACTTGAGATTCTCTTATTTTTCAGCCCAACAATTTTCTAAGATTCTGTCTTCTCAGTTATAAAAAATAGCTAGTGCTTACCTCCTATAAATATATCAGGGACTCGAGTGTACATTAGCAGTGAACACCCATGACATTTATTCTGGCCTTTAAAGAGAGCCATATATTTAAATGTAACTCCATTAAAACACTGACATACAGAAATAGGGGTAGGATGTGGAGCGTTTTAGAGCTCTTCTAGCAAGAAAGATGTCCTGTACACATGCAGCATTTTCATATATTTAACAAATCAAATATTAGAGAACATGGTATTAGTATGAAAATACTTAAATAAGAGCAGTTTTTAAATTTGGTACTGTGCTAGAACTTTAAAATTTGATAATTTCCTCAAGATGGCAATAATATTAATAATAATAAAAACTAACAATTATTACTTAAAATGGCAGGCATTGTTCTGGTCACTTTATACATATCAATTGATTCAAGTTTCACAATGGTTCTGTGAGGTGGGTACTTCTATTATCCCCATTTTCAAGTAAAAAATAACAGCAGCAGCTCACATTTATTGAGCACTTATCACATACTTGATGTGGCATCAGTGTAAATCTATTAAGCAATGTGCATTATCTCATTTAATCCAACAACTAGCCCACGAGATAGCCCTACTATGATCCTCACGTTCAGATGGGAAAACGACAGCAGAGAGCTCAAGTGACCAAACGCATGTACGTGGACCAGAACTGGCTGTCTCCAAAGCCTCATTCATCACAACCACCATGCCGCATGGCCTTTTCAGGACGGGCATGAACATACGCCAGCTGTGGTTTGACTCCCAGCACGACGAAACCAGACTTTTCCTGATGAGCACAAATCAGCCACTTTTCTGGAGTGATGGAAAGAGGAAGGGTCTGATTCCTTCAAGAAATGAGGCCCTGGCAAAACAGAGGAAGCAAGGTGTAAGTCCCACTTCCACCACTGCCAAGGTACCTTCCG